CGAGCCGCACGCCGCTGCGCAGGCTTTTATAGCCGCGTCGGCGTCGCAAAGGCTCGCGACGTCACCTCGCGCCCCGGCCAATCGCCAGGCGGCTGTCGCCCGGGCCCTCCTGACGCCACCGCCCGGACGCCCGCCCGGACCCCTCCCCGGGGCTCCGTGGTGATCTCCAGGCGCCCCGACCCGACGCGGCAGCCGCTGCCCCACGGCCTTTCCCCCGAGGGCTGGACCTCAGGGAAGGACACGGCGTGCAGCGCGGGCGGGCTGCAGGTGGCCTGGGGCAAGGACGGAGGGTGCCGCTGCAGAGGGGGACGGCCGTCACCCGCAGGCCCAAGGCCGCCGCTCCGAGACCGCGGAGGTCGGTCCCCAGGCCGCGCCCGCCGCCCCTGGGCGCATGCGTGACGGTGGCAGTCCGCTCGCTGCAGGCGCCACTGCCGCTGTCCGCATTTCCGATGACTTCTGCATCCACGGAGACAGCCCGCTCTGTACCTGCGCTTTGGGTCCTTGGCTTCCTTGCCTCCTGTCGCAAACGTCGTTGGTATTTTCCTAGTAGCCGCTTCCCTAATAAAATGGCATTCGCCCCGTCCCACGGCTCAGAGAAAGTAGGCCATTCCCAGGGGAGCGACCCTGACGGAGGACCTTGGTGGCGGTCCTCCCCTTCCTCTCTGCTGGGATTGGCTGGGCGCCTGACCATTCCAGCCAATGGGGCCCGGGAGGGGACCCACGGTAGGAGGCAGTGCGTTGGGGACCGTTTTATCTCTGAACTAAGGAGAGGCGGATGGGAGGACGGCAGCGCCGCTCTCTGCCTGTGACCCGGTGGGGCAAATACGTGACGTTAGGGGCTGCAGAAAGGGGCAAGGAGACCCCAGGGGAGCAGCCGTAGGGCCTGCCCTGGCCGACAGGACGCGTTACCCAGGGCGGAGGCTGCTGGACCCCGGGAGCACGCAGCCGACAGGACGGCCACCTGCGTGGAAGCCACCTGGGGCCAGAAAGTCTGGTACCGGGAGCTGAAGGCGCCCTAGCTGGTCCGTGCCATCCCCAGAATCATCTAAGCATTTCTTGCGCCGGCTGCGCTAACTCAGAATTGGTGTTTGTCCTGATGAGACGCAGGGCACTGTCGCCCTCTGGACTCTCCAGGGCCAGCACCCAACACGTTTCATGACTGACTGGCCGAGGAGCGGCCAACAGCACAGCCGCTCTCCAGACGAATATCATGGCTCGAGGAAAGCGTGACGAAAACGGGGAGGGGGGGCCTGGAGGACCCCGAGGGCT